AATGAGCTTCAAGTATCCTGCTAACCAGGGCTTTGGCTCCCTGGATCCTTGGCTGGTATGATGGGTACCCACCATGCGGACTGGCTGCTCCAAGGGGCTACTTATTGGAGATCTCGCTGTGTTGTGCTATGCTGTACTGTCCCCTCCCCGACCGTCCTTGCAGTGGACACTTGCCACTCGCCTGTTGCCCAGCAGCCTCTTTCCATCTCAGATGGCAGCTCTCAGTTTCTTCCAGGAACGACCTGGGTCTCTCCAGCTCAGGTGACACCAGCAGCCCCCTTAACTCCAGATAAACTGGTTGCTCTGGTCATTATATGCACTGGGGAGAACTGGTTGGTTTAGGGGTCAAATGGGGTAATGACCACCCAGAGGCTCAGTGTGGGGTGTATGAAGACAGATAATAGAGAGGGTTCCCTCCACTGCCCCAGAGACCTTGAGCTCTGGGGGGAGATGAAAGAGTCTCACTGGAGTCAATGTAGAGGAAGAACAGTCACTGGGTATGGAAATACTGCTTAGTCCTTGATGCAGGCATACTGGAAGGGGCCCTTCAGTCATGTGACTCCATTGGTTTCTAGTGTAAGTCACTATGGGTCTAAGGGAGTCCCCCTCCCTGTGCATCAGCCCCAATCACCTGTCTCTTTTCTGCTGCCACTAATGTGCAGAGGGGCTACTGTTTACCAGGCCCCAGGGAAAGGGCTTCAAATGACCTCGGACTGCACAATGACTCTCTTAAGCAGCTCTGGGTTTTCATCCTAAGTAGAGACGAAGGCTCAAGGGCACATGACTGGCCAGCTGAGGAAAGCCAGTACTCTGCTACAATACCATCCCTGCCAGGGTCACATCCCATAAGCTCTGAACAGATGCTTTCTGTTCTGTTGCCCATGAAAGTCCTGATTGGCTCTGGACAAGCCTGAACATGTTCTCTGTAACACAGAGAGGACCTTGGCACTCTGTGCCCCAACACAGTCCCAGGTCCATCTGTGCCACATTAGAGGCCACCTCTTTGTGGATCTATCTACGGGGGTTTCTGCTCTGCCAACCTCCCAAAGCCCCAGCCCTGTTGGGCCTCCTTGGATATGTCTATTTCTCTTGATCCTGTTCCTGGTCACATACAAAGCCGCTGCCCCATGAGATGTTTGGATGGAGTCTAGTACTTGCGTGAGGCACAGGAAGGGAGGTAGCCTCTGCCCTCAGGAGCCTGGAGATGCCTTCACCCCAGCAAGAGGCATGGAAAGGCAGTACCTATATGTGAAGCTCAAGAGGGGGATCCCCCCTACTCCCCTACGGATGTTGATGACTGTGGGGTGGTTTTGAATGAACAGAGAAGCATGAATAGGGCATTTTAGCCTTGCCATAGAGTCTTAGCAGAGTCTGTCCTCCTGGGCACAGTGCACCATCTCACACTACTCTGCTGCAGCTGCATGGACCTTTCAGACACACACTCGTCTTCCGCGGATGAACTGCCTGCTCTAGATCAGCAGAGCAGCCCAGAAGTTCCTCCTTCAAGCTGGCCCATCTTTTCATAGCAGCACGTTGGATAGGACCACTGTGGGCTCCTTGATACACTGTGCTACCCGGCCTTCGCTACCCCAGCCAGAAGCCAGGGCCCTCTGCAAAGCCAGCAGAGTTGGGTCTGTGACCCTGTTTCTTTGCCTTTGGAGATCCCTGTGTCCTTGGTTCTGAGGCCTGTTCTGTCACCACAGTGGCGCCACCTCCTGGTGTGTATGTGCGTGGGAACCCTGTCTTGTGGCTGAGGCCTGTAGAGTCTCAATGCATACCTCCCTACCTTGCCTTACCTCCAGCCGCGTCCGGTCCACATCTTTGGGCAATTTCACACGGATTCGGTTTGTTACAATAAGGGAGTCATATGGGTATATCTGCAGGGAAGACATCACAGAGTTATCTCAGAGGCAAGGACCCCTGGGCTGACCAAAAGGCAAACCAGGATACATACTTGTGTGGACTGTGGACATGCACATTTCATAGAGAAAATGCAACAGAAAGGAACTTTTAACCTGGGCAGGCGCAGCGCAGTGGGAGAGGTCAGTTAGTGCAGGAGACCCCTTACCTTGTACTCTGTAAGAGAAGAGCAGAGACCACAGGGCTTGTTTAGGAATGAAAGAATCCATGCCCAGGATGGGTACAATCCTCTTCCTGGGCAACCCCCAACCCCCAATCAGCAGGTTCATGCTTGGTCTCTGAGCAGCCTTCATGGGCCTCCGGTCTTGGATTTCAAGGGAGGGACCAAGGGTCTCCCACAGAATACTGAGAACAGGAGGCATGGCCAGGAGGCTGGAGGCCACCCTGGAAGCTGGGTAGTGGCACTGTGCTCCTAGGCTAGGAAATGTCTTTCCTGGTGTTCTGGCTGCTCTGAGAAAGACACCCATCTCAGTTTACCCAGACGTGCAGTGGGTTCTCCAGAGAAAACTTTCCGAAGGGTGTTGTGGAGTCTGACACCTTTACCAGTACGTATCCTGTCACCCCAGTCTCCTACTGTCCCCCCCTTTTTAAAACAAGGTCTCACTGAGCCTAGGCTAGCTTTGAACTTACTATGTAGCTGAGGGTGACCTTGAACTCCCGATTCCCCTGCCTTCCCATCCCAAGTGCTGGGATTACAGTATGCACCATCATACATGTGCTGCTGGGGATAAAGCCCAGAGTTTTACGTATGCGAGGCAAGCACACTACCACCCAAGCCACACCCCAGCCCCCCTTCATCATGCTTTGCTTCCTACTGTAAACTGCCAAGCACTGTACACCCCTTTCGACAAGGTTTTCCTTTAGACTTCAGGTGTCATTGCATGGAAGCTAAAGCGGTGCAGATGGCAGGTGCTCCACACATACAGGAAGGGCCGCTGGAATCCTGGCCTCCGATCACTCTGGAGGGAAGATGCCTGCATGAGGCAGGCCCTTGATCTTCCCACTTGGGACTCTGAAGTGCCAGCTCTGAGGCTGGAGACTGGGACAACCACTTCAAGAGCAAGCTGTGACACCCTGGCGCTGCCATCTGTATGTGAACTGGTACACAAGAGCAGGGTTCCCCCAGCATTCCAGAGGGTAACAAGGAGGTGAGCATGGCTGTGCACGGCCCTGCTCAGAGCTGGGAAAGTAGCCATTAGTGGGGTACCTGCCACATGACCAGGTGGCCACTCACACGTATGCCAGCAGATACATAGTGAGTGAGAGTCGGAGACGGGGTTTGACCTACACTGTTCAGCTCGGCCCCTAGAAGCTGTTTGCTTGTGACTCTGTGCCCTATACCAAGAGATTCACAGCACCTAAAAAGCCATGACAGGCCCCTGCAGCACAGGATGGAAGAGCTGAGGGGTCAACAGGTATCCCCAGGAGACCCTCCTTCATCCATGGTGCAGAGCCTTCTGCCAGCAGGTCCCAGAGGGATGTCTCAGAATGAGACTGGTAGACATGTGCTAGTGATTCTGCCTAGCCAGAGACCCACAGGGGTCCCCACTGTGTGTACCTCGAGTGCCCCAACTGGCATCCGGGTCTGCTCCACAAGGGGCCACGTTGGCATTCTGGAAGAGAGAAAGAGAGAGAGGCCGGCAAGAGGCAGGTTGCATGGGGCAGGCAGTAGGGGGGCTGGGAGACAGCCCCCAATGCTTGCTGGGTCCTCAACAGCTGGAGGAGGAGGAGGGTGTTTGACAGGTTTAGGTGACAGCCAGATGGCAAAGCTGGACTTTGGAAGGTGAGTACCCAGGATACCTGCCCTGCGGGTATGCCTTTCATACCTGCCTCAGAGGTCTTTGAACCTTGCCTGTCTGATCAACTCTGCCCTACCTTTAAGAATGAGCTTTGATGCCTGGGTTCTGCTCTATAGCTGGCATGGCCTACAGGGCAGTTTAGCGTCTATTCCTGTATTCACACTGTGATGGGTGTAGCCTGTGGTATTTCTGCTCCTCCTTGGGAAAAGTGGCTACAGTCTGCTGTTCCCATGCTCTAAGTAGACCCGAGAGTCTTCCCCAGCCGCACTGTGCCTACAAGATGGCAGAGGCACTCACTGGCCTCTGCCTCCTGGGGGCTTTGCATCATCCCCACTCTATTGCCAGAGTCCCCAGTGCCTAACCTAGCGACACAGTCCAGAGTGCCAATGTCCATGCACCCCAAAGCCCCAAGACACAAGGGGCTTCTGCCTCCATAGGCACCCCCACAACTCCAGGGTCACCAGGATTCTGGTTTCCAGAAACCCCTGGTACCTTGGACAGAGTGGCCTTGCTCTGACATTAATACTCAAGAAGTGACATTTGGGAGGTGGGGGGCTGCCCCCTGACTAGGTCACTGCCCTCAACTCCCGTGGCTGTCATTAACAAACTGTCATGTCAGCACCATCGTGGTCATAGAAGTTCTTTCTCTCTCTTCTGTCCACTTGGGAAAACCTGTATGTACCAGTTACCTCTGTCTACAGGGCCCCACCACTGCAAAGTGTATTAAGCCCCCACAGGCCTGCGCCATCCCTGTCCTGTCTGACTCCTGCCCCGCCATACCTGCTGTCTGCACCAGAACTGTGGGGTGAGCTGAGGTCCCTGAAGAATGCCTGACAGTACCCCAGTCCCCAGCACAGTCCAGGGGTTGAAACAGGGTCAGGGCTGTTGGGCAGAGTTTCTGGAACTGGGCCCAGGGATTGTATTTCAGAGAGCACCGCAGGTAGAGGCGCCATGTGCTCCACCTACAGATACAGTTACAAGAAGAGCTGCTGCCGATGGGCCTTACAGCAGACAACAAGCCGGGGGGCAAGCAGGGAATGGGCTACGCACCCCAGAGAATGTGGAAGCAGAGAGACCCTGCACACCAAAATCCTTCACCTGAAAGAGAGAAACGGAGGCCCAGGGATATGCCACTACCTCCTTCCTGCCTCCAAGCTTAATCCAGCAGGCTGTGACCAGCTGCTGAGAGGGTGAGTATGGAAAGCGAAGGGTTGGAGGGGGCCTTTATTTAACATCTCTGATACTTGGCTTATCATGGACTTTTGGATATGGATTTGGATCTCTCTCTCTCTCTCTCTCTCTATTTTGTTTGTTTGTTTGTTGTGATGACTTGGCTGGTCTAGAACTAACTATGTAGACCAGGCTGGCCTCAAACTCATAGAACCCTGCCTGTTTCTTCCTCCCAGTGTGGACACTAAAGGTGTGCACCACCAAGTCCGTGGATTTGGATCTAACACCACTGCAGTCACATGCGATATACTTCAATGACTCCATCCTTGGGGTCAACCTTAGTTTGCCTCTCTGGGTCCTATGCCCTGCACCCTTAGCCAGGGGTCTGCATCAGCCGATAACTCTCCATGACCTTTCACCATTTCCCCCTAGAAGTTTTCAAAAACAGCACCTCAGGCACACCTGTCCATCAGAGAGCCTCTGGGCAAAGTGAAGCCAGTCTGCCTTGGCCCCACCTTTGTGCCCAGATTGACTGATGCTAAGGAGGAATGCTGCCACATAGTGTTTGGAATCTTGTATCACAAGCAGTCGATCACCCAGGCCAACACCTCCGAGCAGAACCAGCTTCCTCCAGCCTTCTAGGCCTGAGGAAAGAGAGGGAAGATGGGAAGTGGGCCATCCTCCAAATGGAGGAACAGGGCCTTGGTCTAAGCAGGACGAGTGGAGTCTATGCCCCCTGTAGCTCTACAGACCACTCTGTGCAACCAAATCTTGGGTTAACATGTACTTGTGGACCAGCAACAGAGAGCCAGCTCAAGACTGCACTGCCTGGCCCTACTCTGGCTAACTCCTTTGCAGTTCTCAATGAGGTGCCATGATTTTTAAAGCAGACATGTTATTCCTCTTCCTCATCTGGGCATTTACCAGCTCTACTGACACATTCTCCAATCTTGTTGCGCCCACAAAGTGGGAAGCACCCTCAGGCTTTACAGACCAGGCTCAGAGAGGTCAAGCAACCTTGCTGAATTCACACAGAAAGTGCACAGGACTGTAGGAGTTTGAGCCCATGTGCTTTGCTTCCCCAAGACTACACTGTGATTGCTGGTAGGAATGAGATCATGGCCGCCCACACAGGCAGCTGTGATTTTCCTGCTAAAGCCAATGTAGGAATAAGCTGCCTGACTCAGCAGAAGCTGGTGCAGAAGAGCGGATGGGGGCTTGCTTTTGAAGTCCTGACTTACGTGGAAATCATGCTACAGAGCTCAGGAAAAGATCTCACAGCCATACTTGCTCTCATAATCACTCAGATGTAAGAATCACACCCCCACCCTGGTTAGTTCTAGGAAAAGACTGCAAGTTACGTAACTTGCCTCAAGATGGCTGGGAGTTCAGGGCTGTCTAGTTCAAACACATGTTCTTTCCAGGATCACAGATGAAGATCCATAGTCACGGACATAAGATCCCCCACCCCCACCCCACACCATGCCTCTCTCAGAGACAGGCCTTACGGAACCCAGGTTAGCTTTGAACTCACTATGTAGCTGAGGGTGGATTTAAATTCCTGGTCCTCTTGTCTCTGCCTCCAGACATAAACACTTTAAAAATATAAATTTAAATATTTTGAGACAAAGTCTCACTATGTAGCCTAGGATATCCTGGAATTTTCTATACAGACCAAGCTGGCCTTGAACCCACTGAGATTTGCCTACCTCTGCCTCCCAAGTGCTGGGACTAAAGGTGTGCACCACCATGCTTGAGGGACATAAGCAATTTTAGAGATTTATGAACCCATGAAAACTGGATTCAAAAGGCATAAATTTTGCGTTTGTCTATAGGGTTAAGCTTGAGAGTGAATGATTGGGTAGTTTCAGGTGACTCTTGTTTACTAGATCTATGTTTTATTTTAAGACCATGTAAAGCACTGATAGAAGCTGTGTTGTTTGGTGCATTTAAGTTTCTGGGTTCTGTCACTGCTTCATAAAGCCTGGGACACTGGTACTCTGTGCATTACTGCTCCCTCTTCATATATTATCTGTTTGAAACTTAATTTCACTTTGCCACAGTATCACCACTCCCGCCTCCCATTTGTGATTTTAACATCTCTTTTCATTTCTAATTAAGAATATGTTTTCAGTGTATATCTTGTAATGACACACTATGATAATGTCATTTTTTAACCCAACCTGACAAGACTTTTTTTTTCTTTAATGTTGGAATTTAGTCTCTTCACAGGTAACATCAAGGATTTCTCCAAGTGGAATTTCTTCCAGGGAGCAGCCACAAGGACCTTCAGGTGGCCAGTGACCATTCTCTAACTGATGAGTCAGGTGGCACATGTCAAAAATTACTGCTCATTCACAGGAGGACCTGCAGCAGGTGGCTGCTAGTCTGCTGGGCTATGAGCATCTTCCTCCTGGGGCAGGTATGGGCATCAGGACAATCTCATGATCTTTGGAACATACAATGCTAGGGGTCACTAGGTCTTTGTGACAAAAATCCTCTTAGATGGAGACTCAGGAGGACTTCTGCACCTTCAGATGAGGGAAACTATAAAAGTCATGATCGTGGCTGCCTAGCCTTCACTATCAGGACACATGAGTGGGGCTTTGGCATCTTTTCTCACACACTGTCATTTGTTTGTGAGAGAACATTCTCTGGAGGTCTCCCTCTCTTTTGGATTTTGATCTCACTGAATCTGTGCTCTGACTTAGACACCCTGCCCCCTCAATCCTTTCTGGTAGCAAAGCACCTCGTGAATGATTCTGGGGCACTGCAGGTCACCACCAGCAGATGTTTGTGGGCAAGCACTACAGGAAATCCAGAGAGAAGGGCCAGACTTGAGCTCTTGAGCATGGCTGCCCACGTGACTAAATAGCCAGCCTTCTGCTGAGACAGGGGAGTACATACGGGTATTAGATGGAGTGAGAATGAGCAGGAGCATGGGCAGGAGACAAAGGATCTCAGGGCCAAGTGCAAAGTCAGAACTCTTGTGAGGATGGACTCCACCTTTGGGACCGCTCAGAGTTCAAGCCTAGAGCACTCAGGTCTGCCCACTCTCTCCTCCCGTGTTCACACAAGGCCTGCCCCTCGGTCCTGAAGAGAGTTAAGATAATGTTCACAATAGTTCTAGGGCCAAGATGGACCCACCAGAGTCCAGATGACCTATTCACAACTGGCCTAGGAGGAGCCGGTAGAGACCATGACCTCTGTAGACATGGACGTTCACCAATGCCACAGGCAAGCCAAGACTCCCAGGAGGTCAACTTCTCTGTGTTCTCATAGATGGCTGACTGGACACATGTGTTCACACAGATGGCTGCTAATCATACAGACAGTCCAGTGCCCCTACTTTCCTCTCACCCACCAAGGAAACCCCCAAGTTCTTACTTGAGTAGAGGGACATATTAGCTAGGTCAAGCTGGGTCACTGGCACCTGTGGGCCCCTTGCTTAGAGAGCAACTGTCCCAGGTAAAAAGAAAACCTTCTGGAAAGACAGACAGGGCTCCCATGGCCCCTAAAGCCCCGATTCTGAGTGGAGGGTTTTACATTTCATGTCAGGGGAGTCCTGTGTGGTTTCTAGACCCATGCTTTCCCTGTGGAAGACAAATTCCGTTGGAAAAAGGTCAAGGAAGCAGGCAACATGCAAGGTCTGTTCCAAAGCAGGAAGAGAGGTTAATGGGAGGGGAAGCCATGGTACTCTAGATTCTATCCATGCAGAGGCATCTGTGGGGGCGGGGGCACCCTGAAGCTGAGTCTTGGACAGAAACATAGTAAATTGGAGCCTGAGAAGATGGATGGCCAGTCCCAAAGGATGCCTGCAGCCTCTGAAGATGCCTTGAGAGTATTCCATAGCCTTTGAGAGGATATTTCAGATGGCTGGCCCTGAGTTCACATTTTGATAAGACCACTCCAACACCACACACACACACACACACACACACACACATACACACACACACACACACACACACTCCTGATTTTCTTGAGATGTGAATTGTCTTATTTTATACACAAACTTCCTGACACTAGGAAATGCTACCTGGGTAATGGAAGTTTCCTGGAGCTATGTGCTTAGATGAGGCCTGGGGGTTCTGAATCATGAAGACACTCTTGACTACAGATCTCCATTGAGAGCCAACATGGCTACAAGCTCCTCATGAAGGGCACTGGACCAGGGCACATGGCAGGCTCTCTTTGGGTTGGCAGGCTAAAGGCCTTCTGTACTTGTGTTCATGTGCCTTGAGATTGGGAAGCAGATAAGGACATATTCCTCGTGACCACATGGCAGTGACATGGGATGGGTATGGCTCCATGGGCACAGGAACATTCCAGAATTGGCTGGCTCTAGCCACAGGAAAGAAGGTGGGGCTGAAGAGCATCTCAAAGCAGCCCTAGTTACTCTGGGTGACCTACATCTTCCCTGCCTTACACACTGGGGACTCTGGTTTCTGGAGCCCAGCGGAGAGAAGCCAGAGTGTGGCCAGGTGTGGTCTGGTCACTCTTGACACAGAAAAGACTACAGTGGCAGCATCTGGGGCAGAGCATCAGGCAGAGGCAGGTGGGCAAGCAGGATTCCTGCCTTTTCTGTCACAAAGCTATGGGAACCAGTGCAGGTAAGCAGCAAGGGGTGGTTAGTGTCCCACAGGTAGGGAGAGTCCAAGTACCTACCCGGAGGTCCAGACCATCCTTCCTGGGTCCTGGGAGAGAGTCAGGTTTGGAATAAGGGAAGCCTGTAACAGACACAGCACAGCCTCGTCACGCACTCAGCCAGGCCAGGGGAGGGCAGGGTCCGTGATGCTTCCAACAGAGACAGGACTAGGCAGCTGACAACAACAGAGGCCCATAAAGATGATCCTCCTGCCTTGTTTGCGACCTTCTATCCCCAGGACGCAGAGGGTGATATCTAAGCCAGGTATTCACACCAGGGACATCACAGGAATGGGGCCCAGCTGAGCTGGTACCCATGTTCAGGATAAGCCTTGGTACCACATCACCCAGGCTAGCTCCTTCCCCAGACTCAGGACATCCTAGGCTAGGTAGTGCCATCCTGTGCTGTGATAGCCACCACAGACCACCACCTGCCAAATGGGGCTGGGAATCTTTGAGGATGGGGAACCTCAAATTCAAATAGGGATTACTAGCTTCTCTTGAAATGGAATGGGCCAGGCAGAGACACAGGGGTCCTTGATGCTCACTAGCATGAGGCCAAATGTCATGGGAGCTGCTGGACAGCCAGGAGAAAGCTCAGAGGAGCTATGGGCCACATCCCCCCACCATTCACTCTGAGGTGTACACTGAGGACTGGCATGAGTACCAGGTACAAAGCTGCCCACCCATCCTGTCTGGCCCTGCTGCTGAGCGTGCCGGGCTAAGCCGTACATTGAGGTTCCTTGTGGGCTCAGGGACACCTTCTCCCAAGGGACCCAGTGAGGAAACCTAGGAGCCCATGCCAACTAAGGTGCTAGATACAGTTCTTTCTCAAAGAGGAGGCTAGCAGCAATAAAGAACAACTCTGTTAGGTGGATTCTTAGCTCCATTAAGACCCTACTACATCAGAAGCCCATGATTCTGCAAGCCTCCCAGGCCTTTTGGATGAACAGCAAAGGTCTCAACTGTGTTTCTGGCCCTCTAGTCAGGGGCTGCACACAGCCTCCCCAGGCTCAATATTCAGCCTGTCACACACGGTAGCAACCTTATTTCTATAGGCCACATGTGCCTCCTACTTTCCTAACAACTGTCCCAGATAAGCCTGGTCAGAAAAAAAAGATTCATTTCATTTCTAATTATATGTATGTGTGTGGAAGAGGGGAAAGGGTATGGGCATGTTCAGTGCTGATGCCCATTGGCCAGAAGAGGAGGTCAGAGCCCCTGGAGCTGGAGTTTTGGGCAGTTGTGGGCTGCCCAATATGGGTGCTGGTACCTGAGCTCTGGCCCTCTGCCATCTCTCCAGCCCTGGTCATACTTTTTCCTTTAAGTGTGGAAATATGGGGATGAAGAGATAGTTCAGCAGTTAAGAGAACTCAGGGTTTGATTCCCAGTACACCATGGTGGCTCACAATCACATGTAACACCCTTTTCTGGCTTCTACGGGCACCGTGTGCACATGGGGCACAGACAGACATGCAGACAAAACACCTATCCACATAAAACAATTTTTAAAAAAAGAAACCTGAGAAGAGGACTGGTAGCCATGCCGCCCCACCCTCTCTGCCTAGACTTTTCCCTTTCTAAGGTTGGAGCCCGTGCAGTTATCACTCTCTTTCTGGAGAAGGTCCCTTAACCACTCTTTAAGGTGACAACTTCTCTCAGTTTTCCCTCATCTGAGGTCTCCGTGCCTTCTGTCCAGAAGCATATTCCCACTGAATGTAGAACTCACAGACTGGCCTTCCCTTTAGCACACTTCCGGCCACTCACTTCCGGTCCCTGTGGCTTCCGTGTGGAGGGAGCTGCCACCAACTAGTGCTTCCTGTAGATGACATGGCTCTCCTCACTGTGTACTTTCAAGAAGCTCTTTTTTTTTTTTTTTTTTTTTTTTCGTTTTTTTTTTTGGTTTTTCGAGACAGGGTTTCTCTGTGTAGCTTTGCGCCTTTCCTGGATCTCGCACTGTAGACCAGGCTGGCCTCGAACTCACAGAGATCCGCCTGGCTCTGCCTCCCGAGTGCTGGGATTAAAGGCGTGCGCCACCACCGCCCGGCTTCAAGAAGCTCTTTTAAACCTTTGTGTTCAGAAGTTTAGTACCACATCTTGTTGTGGACTTTTTCGGTTGATCTTCTTCGGGGTTCACTGGGTTTCTTGACCTTGCAGGCTTACATCTCCTGCTGAGTCTGCAAGGCTTTCGGCCATTGTCGCTTTGGATGTCTCTAACCCATTCTGTCTCCCCTTCAGGGAATTCAAAGACACAAGCACCATGTCCCAGGCGCCCGGTTGTTTTTCTTCTCTCTGCTGTCCACACTGGAACTAAGACCCCAATGTCCTCTGTCGGAGTCAGTCATTCTGTCCCTGAACCCACACAATAGGTATTGACATTATTTTACTCCTCAGTTCAATGTCAGTTCCCAATTGACTCCATTCCAAAGTCACTTGTGTTTCTTTGGTGAGACTTTTTCTCTATTCCAGTTTTGACACAACTGCTCCCTAGAGCATCTTTATGACAGATGTCTTAGAATCCTTGTCAGATGACGTCAACGCCAATTCTTTCCAGTGTTCGAGTCTGGTGACTTTCTCATTCTAATACTAATGTCACAGTTCTGGGTGTTGCAAATCAGTTTTTGATTGAATCCTGAATACCTAATTGTTGTGATAAGAGATGGGATCTTAGGTAGCCTTCCATTTTAGCATGGCCAGAGTTCTGTTGGACCCAGTGTGCAGGGCCAGACATACAGACTGACTCCCATGGTCATTGTTTTTCAGAGTGCTGTTTAGTAAGCTACTCCATTCTTCTCGATTTGCCTGGAGTTGGTGCCCCTCACAATCCCGGACAGAGCTGCCTGTGTATTTGTCCTACCAGCCAGGAGGCAGAAGATGCTAGCGATAAACAGAGACCCTCTCCGGGGCCTCCTCTCTGCAGGCTTCCTGCTCCATACCCATCCCCTACCCCTGTCGAGGTGGCCAGCCTCCTCCCCCTTCCCACCCTGTGGCTGCTGGCTCCCTGTAGCCCCCTTCTTTCAGGTGTACTTAGCAGGGAGAGCTAGACAGGTGAGTCTACTACGGTGGGTGTTCTTGTGCTCTAAGTTGCTATCTAGGTCTTGTTACAATCAATCTTTCTCAGGGAGGGATCAGCCATTATGTGATTTTAAAGGTCCCAGAGTCCCGTACGCAACAGAACAGATAATTCTTGTATTTCAAATCCCTTCACACTTTCAAAGTGCTAACTCCATGCTCAAGGGTCTCTGTGCTTTGAACACAAGGGGTACGGTGGGGGGAGGTGGGGGGGGTGGGCTGGGGAGATCGAGTGACCTGTATAAAATCAAATGGCCCTAGCAGATCTTCTAGGGACCTGCATATCTGATATGGTCAGATGGCCTTCAAGAGTGTGTGGCCAAATGTAGACATGACAGAAAAGTGGGTATGCACAGAAGGGGCAGGTACAGAGGACGGAGGATCCCGAGGAAGTTCCCAGCTGTGTGCTCATGACTTTAGGTTATATCAGGCCCTTTAGGCACTGAACACACCCCCCAACGCCTGGGCCAGACCTAGGTTTAGTCTAACGACACACCCTGCGCCAGCTCTCAGGCCACCCACAGCCACTATGCTGCCCGCTGCTCTTGGAGTCGGCTCCATTCTCCTCTAGGATGGCTCATGAGAGGTCGGGGCAGCCACTGAAGACTCAAGATGTGTGACTGAGAGAGATAGTGTGTGTTCCTGATGCAGTGGGAGGTGCAGGCTTCTCTCAACATCTGGCAAGCCACAGCAGGCCACCACTTCTTTGTTGGGGTCCAGTATGTGACCACCACTGCCTGCTCTGTGAGGGGTAGTTCCTCTCAGCTCTGAACATCAGAACTCAATGTCCCTGAGCACACGTGCGCTTTGGGCTGTGGAAGCCAGTGGGACAGGCTTAGGCTGCAGTCTGGCATGTGAGTCTGAATGTTCCACCTGGATGTCTTCGCAGGACTGCATGCCCAAGTGTCAGCCCCTCAACCTACAGGTTCCTGGGTCATTCTCATTGTTGTCCGTAAGGAAATGTCATACCATAGGGGCTTGTTAGGGGACCCAACGTCACACAGCAGTGACTAGCTGGGGCTCTACCAGCTGGACCTGGGGATGAGTACAATGCTCTGTGTCGATTCCTTTTGAGGTTTTCTGGATACATTTGTAGCCTTCAGAGCTTTCCTGAAAGTCATGCCTGTTCCCATCTGAAATCTGGCTAGTCCCTCTCCCATTATACCATGGTGTCTGTCTCCCTGGGGCTCTGCAGAAGCCAATCCCCAAACCTTCATACACACTGTGCATTGCCCAGAATACCTCCCTAACACAGATGCTGGCAGCCATCTCCTGTCACCTTTGGCCAACTTGGTCCCAGCTCAGGGGAGAAAGCTGAAGTCCTCTGGGGCTATCATTGCACAGGGTGGGGGTGGGGACTGGTAACAATGACCTATCAACACAATTTGCTAGCCCTGCCTCTACCCTCGACTGGATCATCCCTTCCCAAGCATCCACTGCTTCCAGAACCACAACTGAGGCCTGCTGGACACTGGCCTCCTCCCCAAAGACTTCTTATATTCCCATGACACTTTTCCCAGCATGCCTTAGCTGCCAACTTGCATATGCCACCTGACTTGCCCCATCTCACTGCAGTGTCACAGGACAGGAGGCCTTTTCTGTTTCAGGCCCAGCTCTGGTTCCACATCTAGAACAAGGCTGGGACACAGACGGTGTTCGAGGACTGTGTGCTAGGCGATTGGACTGCTCCTGCCTTTCTGGACCCTGATTCAGCGCTGGAAATGCCAAAGATCTTCCAGTTCTGCTATCTGTAGACTGTCAACTAGGAGTCTCAATCACAGCTCTACTACCAGGCGTTTGGCTGTCCCCCTCAGTACTCCCAGGAGACTTGACCGGGCAGGAGGACCTGCTCTTCATAAACACTGGCAAGGGAATGTGGGGCAGCTCTTTCTCACCATGAACTCTGTGGGGGGTCAAAGGGTGGAGGGAAAGTCTGACCCATGTACCCTCCCTCCCTCTCTCCCTTCCTCCCTCCCTCCCTTCCTTCCTTCAGAGAAGAATAGAGCCACAGAGGTCTGTCCTGTGACTGGTTGGTTGCTGACTGCCTCAAGAGAAGGCAATGCTCTAAGGAGCAGAGACTAGCACATCCCACCATTCCACACTCCACAGGGGCCCCCTGCTGGAGGACACAGAGGTGACATCAATGGTAAAGGCACAGGTCAATCTGGGGTGAAGTGGCCCCCCCCATGAGGTCTTCCCCCTGCACTTCCTGAATTGCTAAGTCAGAGAGACTCCTTTGTCTCCAAGCCCAAGCCACCCGGAACCCACTCCTCCCACCTTCCTCTCAACCTGCTGATGTAAAGCAGGGGCCTTGCTAGGGACCACTGAAACCCCTGGGCAGCGGCTTCTACAGCCCAGGTGCTTGAATCATACCACCAGATCTCTGCCATGCCTGTGTCTGTGCACATCTGTATTCACATCTGTGAGGGAGAGACCTCAAAAGAGAGGATAGGACAGGAAAGGTCAGGAGTGTGGGACCCAAAGGATATGTGTCCACAGGGTGCAAGCTCACTCTGTAAGGCCTTCAAGGCCCTCGTCTTACAACAAAAGCCAACTTGTCCCCTTTTGTGCCGACTCAGGCCGTCATTAATGACCACTCACACAGTGAGAAAGCCCCCGCATGGGACACAGCTACAATAAAACCCATGCCCCATTGACAGGAGCGCAGAGCCTGGCAGAGAACTGCTGCCCCGTGGGACTGTGCAGCACCACTGGGGTGGAGATAAAGGCACAGGTATAATGCTAGACCCTGTGAGCTTCCTGCTCAAGAGATCTGAAGTCAGGACACCAGGAGAACGCAGAGGCAGGAGGATGTAATCGTGACTGTTGGCACATAATAAGTGGCATAGGTCCAAGCACAGGCAGCTGGTTCCCACAGGCCAGGTGTACCCACATAACAGCTACTTCCTGTCCACACCACTCATGTTGGCTTGCTGCAGGGATGCAGTAGAGGAATGGGGTGACAGGAAAGCCCTTGTCACTGTGGGAGTGACCAGTGAAGACACCCGGAACAGCCTACCTCACAGGGTCCACCACACTCAAAAGTGCTTGGGATGAACACCCCTGTTCCGGCATCTGCAGATGAGAAAGTGCTATAGGGGGTATAGGGGACATGCATAGGCCACCCAGCATAGTGACAGCAGAAGCAGGACCCTGAGAGGTAGCATCTCCAGCTGGGTTTCTTCCCACCCTGCGCCCCTGCCCCCCCCCCTCAGTCCTGAGCCACAGGAAGTCCATACATTCCAGTGGGGATGGCTGAGGGCACAGGCTGACCGCCATGGGGAGAATCTGGGTGAGGTCATGGGAATGGAACTAGGCACTCCCCTAACCAAGCAAAGACCAGAAACTGGAAAACACCATCCTGAAATACCGCCATAAATGTTTGACCCCCAGCTAATGCCTGGATGGCAGGACACCACATAAGGCAGTGAGAGCTGTGGAGGAGCCTCCATGACTCAAACTCAAGTACCACAAAGCACATGTGCACACCCAGCAAGAGGGCATCACCTGGGGCAGGGATCCTTGGGACAGAGGGCTGAGGGATGGTATGCAGTCACCCCAGTAGGCACAGGCAGGCACACGGGAGCTCCACCTTCTCTCACCATGCCTTCAGCCTAGCTCTTCCTCCAAAAGAACCTACAGGAGACCCTACGGGGCCATTTGATGTGCCCTCCCATGTTGACATCAGTCTGTGTGCAAGCTCTGAGATCCCAAGGAACCTCATCTGCTTACCAAGACCCCACACAGAAGAACATTTCCATTTCCAGTTGGTCACAATGTCCGGCATCCCTGTTCCTCCCTCTGCTGCAGGACACTTCTAGTGTGCCGTGCTCAAATAGTGCTGTCCACGGTCAGGAGGAGAGGTGGGTGTGAACAGTCATGGCGATTTACTGCGGGCCAGCCGAAGCACCCTTGCACACCCAGGGCCTAATGACCCGAGAGTCAGCATTGCTGCTCTGTTCTCTGTCATCAGCCAGTCATCTGAGAGTCCAGATTTCACTCAGAGTCGGTGCCACTATGATGCCGGGTACTTCCTCTGCTTTTCCACACCACATAGATTCTCACGACCTCCACTTCCAACCACAGTCACAACCATAGCAAACAATCCCCTGTTTAGCTCAGAGCAGAGGCTGCTTCTGGGAGAACCTGAGTCCACCTGCAGCCTGTGCCGCTGACTCTGCCTGTGACCTACAGCACCTCCAGTAGACAATGCAACGGGGAATTTACTCTACTTGAGGATCACCCCTAAGCCAGGCTTCACAACACCCCCAAGGCTAGGCAGACATCAGCTTTGTTGCCTGTGACGTCAGGTCATACCTCCTAAGAATTTCCAAGTGCCTGCCTTGCTCAGGATGTCACAGGGACCAGGACAGTGCCTTGTACCAGTTCCAGGGCTGGACTCGCCCCCTGACCATGACCACATCTGCCCCCAGGGAGAGAGGCCCTGAGAGCGGCTCTCTTTGCTTTCTTGCCAGCTCTGAGAGAGCCACGAGGGGGCGCTGTGCGCACACTAGCCAGCTGTGTCACCGCAGAGAGGTGGTGGGTGAGGCAAGGGCTCAGACCTTCAGTTGGCTTGATTCACATCTGAATGCTCTTTTGGGTGTTCTTTAGTTTTGTTTTAATTTTTATTTTTGAGACAGAGTCCCCCTGTGCAGCTCAAGCTGGCCTCAAACTCACGGCAATCCTTCTGCCTCAGTCTTTCAAATGCTGGGATTACATGTTGACTCCTGCTTTTAGTTTTTTTTTTTTAGGGAGGAAAGCTGAGATTTGGGGGCCCACTTAGGAGGGGCCCTTGGTTGGCAGTCTCCAGTGCACATCAGAAGAGCCACTCACGTGAGTAGAGGCTATCCCCCGGCATCCTTTGCAGAGGTTCTCGCTCAGCCCCGCTGCTGAGGGACAGAGATTGGCTGTCCAGGTCTGGAGAGTTGGTTCTGGTGTCTGCATCCCCCTTGAGGAGCAGCCAGGTGGTCTTCTGCAGAGGAACAGAAGGTTATGGGAACGCTGAGGTCATCTACCATGGTGGAAGCACCTCACCAGCACCTTCCAGTAGCTTCTGTACTTCTACCTCAGAAGCCGACCCCACTGCTTTTAATGCGGGTCTCACCATTAAAGGTGTCTCGTTCATACACTCTGCAAGTTCGTGAAGCAGCTGGAGAAATGGCCAAATACGGCATGCAGCTTGCTGTTGTGATGCAACACACACACACACACACACACACACACACACACACACACACACACACACGTCCTCTCTGGCTGCTTTCACAGTGTGGCCACATCAAAACAGTATAGAAGTAAGGTCTACTACATTCTACTCTCTGGCCATTTATTAAAAACAAACAAACAAACAAAAAAACACCTGCCAAGCTGTGCTAGAACCTTCATGTCAAATACCCCAGAATGCACTGGGTTTGTTTGCTTGTCAGTGTCCCCATCTCCTCAGTCCCAGAGTCATGACCTGGATACCTGGCAGAGCAAGTGCTCATATTGAGTGTAGAAGGAGGCAGGTGGGTGTGGCTCCCACCTTGGGCCTCCCAGGACCCCAGGAGCGGAGTAAGAGAAAGACTGGAGATCCAGCTCGGGGAACCATCCCACCCTGCAGGACCATATCCCTCCTTATTACCTTCCTGCTATCCTGGTCAAAACTGCTGTCTTCCACGTCCAATCGCCTGGCGGCTGGAAGGGAAAGATCCATTTGTAAAGGCAGCTCACCAGGTTTGTCGTGGGGGCCCTGCTTTACCTAATGCTCAAAAGTAAAAGAAAATCAAAGAAAAGGACAGCAGAATGAATGCCTTTCACAGGCCAGAAGCGTGACACACTAGAGCAGCCTCCTCAGAGACAGGGTCCAGAAGGTGAGCATGCCCTGAGCAAAGCGACACCTCACTGCAGTTCCAACCACACCTCCAACCTGGAGAAATGGAGTCACATTTTCAGACAAAGTGACATTTTTCACTTGGCAGTTGATAGGCATACTTTTGACCTTTCGAGGGGGACCCTGAAGGGACAGAAGGTCTCAGCCTCAGAGTCCTTGGTGTCAGACACAGCCACATGCTTCTTGGGCTTCACTGCTTCTTTCCCAACACGAACTCTTCCAAACTGGAATTTGGCCCATTTCACAGATCAAGAGACTGAGGTTCAGGGAGGGGCCTTTCTTTGAGGTCCTGGACCAGCATGAAGTGAGGTGAGGGGGCTGAGAGTGACATGAACTCAGGCAGTCAAAGTCCAAAGTCTCCCCTGCCTGTCTCCACTGAGCTACCTACTGCCTGCCCAGCCCTGAGCTCTGCCACTGGGAAGAGTCCACAAGAAACAGCAAAGAACAACAGTACACCTGAAGACGAGCCCACTTGGAGCAAGAGTTCACACCACCACAGTCGCTTGTTTACCAAGAAGACTCTTGGCGGCATCATCACATCCTCCCACGGGGCTGACACTTTCCCCCAGACAAAGAAACCATGCAAGGCATGCTGGGATGTTTCAGGACCCACTCAGTGCAGGGAGACCTACCAAGCACTACCCCAACCCTGTGCACACAGCAATGGCTGCAAGTCCTCACCAGTCCTCACCAGCTAGGGCTCAGCTCAAGGAGGAGAGCGGGCGGGCGGGCGGGCGGGCTTCTTACCTGCAGCCTGTGGCGGGCTCAGCCCTGCCCGTCTCTTGGAACGCCCTGCCTCCTGCACCACCAAGGACAAAACTGACACCAAGTCAGAGAGCTTGGACATTGGGGACTGGGCTACAGGACCTTGACAAGACAGGGCCAAAATTGAAAACTGAGTACTGCCATCCTAGACATGAGGACTCTGCGTCTCCCCCCGCGGTGGCTGCCTGTCTCTCCCAGTGAGAGACTGATTTTTTTTTTTTTTTTTTAGGTGAAAATAAACCCTCTACTTTCTCCACATACAGAGGCGAATGAACCACAGACCTGCTATGGAGGCTCAATGGAGGGACACAGAGGGGGTGGACAATGTGACTCCTGTTGCTCAGACAATGACTGTCACTGGGCAGCAGCACCAGATGTGGCTAATACGCCAGCATTGACTCTCAGCAGCTGACTGAGGGTGCAGGGATAAGCAAGCTGTGGCCACTCCAGCGCTGAGGTTCTGCCCCACCCTCGGCACCAGAGACTCCAGCCCAGGAACTCTTCAGGTTGTGAAATCCCACCCCAGGAGCCCAGGCCATGGATTTTCAAGATTCCGTATAGCCACAGATGACACACTAGCCAACGAGCTCTAGCATAGTGCTACCCAGGGCTCCAGAATACTCCTCCACTGACTGAGAGGAATGTTCTGTGAAGACTTAAGGGTCCTCTGTAAACACCACAAGCTCTGACAGGTGTGTAGCTTGCCAGGCCAGAGCCAAATTCACCAGGCATTTTGCATTGTTGGTAGATTGCTTCCATAACAACTCAGAGCCTCAGTTTCCTGATCTGTAAAATGGGAAAATGCCACCTTACCCCTTCAAATTCATGAGGACCAGATGAGAGAGTGTCTGAGAATACAAAGGCCAGCTTGCAGGTCTGCAATGCTAGGAACAGGCAAGGGGTCAACCCTGAAGGTAATTTGCAGGCAGCTCTTCCCTCTTAGAATTCTCTTAAATCTGAGCATACTCATGTGCTACATATGTGTCCCTCTGACTGCGCATCTACTCACTTCTACTTACTCTCTTAACATTCCACCCACCTGCTCATCTATCTACCTACCCAGACACTAGCCCATGCTTCTGCTCATGGACATACACCTATCCACTAACCCACCCATCATTTTATCCAATTCCTCCATCCATTCACCCATGCACTAACCACTCACCCATCCACTAAGCCATATACATATATGTGTGTGTGTGTGTATATATATATATATATATATATATATATATATATATATTCTATCCATTCATGTATCCACTAACCAACTCACCTACCCCTGTATCCACAGCTCTCCAGTTATTCACCCACCTGCCCACCCATGCATACCTCCCTGTCCTCTTCAATTCATTTCTTTGTTCACTGATGCATCTATTCATCCATGCAGCCCTGTCCCCCATCATACTGGGCCTCTGCCACTTAACCCTTCAGCCTCACCCCTGCACCTGCCCTGTCCTTCGCACAGGGACTCAAGAACAGTCGGCCTCAGCTGACTGACTTTGTTCTCCCCACAAGGTGTAGGGATGACAAGGCCTCACCTTTGCTCACAGGGACCCAGCTACAAATCTCTCTCCCCACTGAGCAACTGGTAGGAGATGTTCAAGGTCACAGCAGCATCTAATGTGCCTGGTGCCTCCTCCAGTGTCCTACCTACTGACCTCCAACACATCAGTGCACCCAGAAAGTAGATGGATGGACACAGTCCAGAGCCGCCATGAGAGCCAAGCAGCTTGCTTTTGGCAACACCTACACTTCCACATCTCTGGCTTGCAGGGGGCCATCGACTATTCCAGGGTGCTCAGGGGTAGTCTGTGGTCATCAGGTAGTCTCAGCTCTGGTCTCTACTGGAGCTATTTGCCATTAGTGCAGAGCCAAGCTCCATGAGTGTCCAAGCACAGGCTTTGACAGCTGGGCCCTAGACACACCCGGTTGGTACAATCTCTAGTAGATGGAGTTTCTGAACACATGGGGAGAGGGGCTCAGGGGCTTGGTGTCTCTCCTCAGACCTCAGGGTTCCAGAAGGGTGAGGATGGGGCTCTTGCTTCTCTACTCAGGTCCAGACCCATGGGTAAGACTTCTCTTACCTTGCCCAGCACGTATCAACCATCAACCTGTACAGTTTAAATTGCTTTGGAATTACATTGAGAGAGAATAAATGAATGAATGAATGAATTAATGAATGTGTGTGTGTGTGTGTGTGTGTGTGTGTGTGTGTGTGTGTGTGTGTGTGTACATGCATGCACACACACACTGGGAGCAAATCTACAGACTCTCAGCTTCACAGGACAGGGATGTACTTGGTCATATGTTATAAGGGCAATTGTATGGGCTCTGCTTCACAGGGCAGGCTATGTTTGGCCATCCCTATGTCTCCAGCTCTGAAGTAGAGCCAATCACATAGTGGATGACAAAAAACCACCCCTTGGACAAATTAGTGAAAGCCGCTGGCATCTCTTGGCACTTGGCTTCCTTCTATGAGGTTGGGGGAATGGCATCTGTTTGCTGACGGCTATCAGAACTGGCAGAGGCGTCAGAGCAAGGGCCACAGAGTCAGCACTTCTGCCGACTGGCTTCGCTCCCACCTACTGTCTGTCTTCCAGAGAAAGGGGTTCATCATGTCCTTCAGAACACAGAGAAGCTCCTCTGAGTCCCACAAGCCCTCTCTGGAAAGACTGACTTCCTAACACTCATGTCCCATGTCCCTTGAGAACTTCTGCTAGACATGCCCCATGGGGGTACCAAGTTTCTGATGCTCTCTGTGGACATCTGGCCTTTCATCCTATCCCAGAATTGAACCCCAAACCAATGTGAGACTCCATCTTCTAAGAAAGAAACCCCAGAGAGGCACAGAAAACCCTTATCTCCATCTTCAACCAGGGACCAAAGAACTGGTAATAGATATGGCCTACTCGGATGGTAGCCCTGAGAACATGGGTGACCAAATGAGCATCTTCTGCCTGCAGCTGTGGTATGGGAAAAGCTGCAGGAGGGGCCTCTGCCTGCCAGCCCCCCGCCCCCGACTCACTCATGTCTGTCTCAGGCTCATGCTTGCTTAGAAATCTAACGCAAAGCTGTTGAAATGGTTGCTCCGTTCTGGACCTGGACAGTCAAACTGTCTAGGAAGTCTTTGAAGAAGCACTATTGGCCTTTGACAGTCATGATGGCCACTTCAAAGTGTCAACCTCTCAGGACTTAGAACCACCTCGGAAATGAACCTCCAGCCACATCTATGGGGTATCGTTAGTTTCTGGG